GGAGAGAGAGAGAGAGAGAGAGAGAGAGAGAACTGGGTTTGAAGGATTGAGGAGAGGAGATAATGTTATTTTGGGGATTTTAGCTTAGTTGGCATGTAATAATTGTTAAAAAGGGGGTGCAACACAAAATGACACACTTCAAGGGGCTGAATCACATGGGGAAACTAGGAGGGGCTGCAGCATATGAAGTTTCTGTTTTTGGGGCATGGACACATTTTTCCCAAGTTAGAAACCTCATTTTTCATTTCTCGCCAATTCTTAATGTTTTACGCGTCGGTTCGTGAGATGTTCATGAACAGTGCAGCACCCAGTGAGGGCTTGTCACCCCACCTGTCCCCTACAGGGTCCCCTCATTTGGGGTCCCTGGGGCATTTTCCATTCTCAAATTATCTGGTCATTCATTAGAATATATTGATAATTTATAATGATTAAATTTTTTATAAATACAAGATAATTATTATAAAGAATTATTAATTATATAAAATAGTGATAATTATTTATTTATATAGTACATAATTATAATTATCAATAATAGTATAAATGGGGTTATTTTTTTATGTAAATAATATTATCTTGTTCGATAATTAGTATCGCCTTAGTAATAAAAATTTGAATGTTATAAATTAAAATTATATATATTTTGGAAAATTAATTTTTATAAAAATATTTGGATCCTTGAAATTTATGAGACATATGCTTTTCTTTTCTTTTCTCTAAAATATTTGGTCATTCACTAGAATATATTAATAATTTATAATGATAATAAAATTAATAAATATATTATAATTCATTATAAGGAAATTTTAATTTTAATGAAATAACAATATTATTTATTTAATAAATTATTGTACATAATTATAATTATTAATAATATTATTAATATGGATTGATTCTTTATATTGTAAGGACTATTATCTTTTTCAATATTATAGTATCGTCTTAGTAATAAAAATTGGATATTCTGAATTAAAATTTTTTTATTTAGGAATTACTTTATATATAAATATTCGATCCTTAAAATTTATGATACATGCACTTTTTGTTGAAAAGTAAATGTCTCATAAACTTCAAGGATCCAATATTTTTATATAAAGTAATTTTCCTAAATTATAGTATTTATAATTTATACATTGCTAAGATGATATTAATTATCGAACAAGGTAGTATTCTTTATAACATAAAATCATAAAACGTAAATATTGATAATATAAATGGTTTAGTTATTTCAATAGCGTTAAACCAATGATTATGTTATTATTTAACAATTATACTGTTAAATAATTTTTTTTAAATAACATAAGTAACAATAAGCAAATTTAAATAACTATTAAATGTATGTTAATAATAGTATAAGTACTAATAGTAGTATAACATAAATTTTTTAATCATAGCGTAATAAGATAACTTTGTAAAATATTTATACATTAATTTATTAAAAAAATAAAATATTAAATTATAAAATGTCCACGTGCAAAGCACACACATTATGCTAGTTGCTTCCAAAGGTGAGAATGAAAATAACATTCTATTTCTACATTAAGTTCATTACATTCCTTGTTTCTTTTCATTCCCCAAACGAGGCGCATGGATAATTGATAATTTACTTTATTTGAGCAAAGATAATAACGGTATTGAAGGAAATTCATGCTAAATACATGCAAAATACGCAACAGAAGACTATATGTATAATTATGCTAAGCATGTAGAGAGCATGAAATACATAATGGGACCATCCTAATTAAATCTAACATAATCCCTACATTAAAGAGAGCATTCAAGAGTTAGAAAGTCATACTTTCGAAGCGTGATTCGATGGAAGATCGAATAACCCCTAGCTCTTGCTCCTCGTAGTAGAAAATCTCCTCGTAGTGGATCTTCAAGTCTTCAAGTGGGCTTGATAAAATGTGAGTCTTCTTGAGACACAAGGTAATATATCAA